ATAGCAGCACAATTCACAATAGCAAGACTGTGGAACCAACCTAGATGCCCTTCAATAGATGAATGGATAAAAAAAATGTGGCATTTATACACAATGGAGTATTACTCTGCATTAAAAAATGACAAAATCATAGAATTTACAGGGAAATGGATGGCATTAGAGCAGATTATGCTAAGTGAAGCTAGCCAATCCCTAAAAAACAAATGCCAAATGTCTTCTTTGATATAAGGAGAGTAACTAAGAACAGAGTAGGGTCGAAGAGCATGAGAAGAAGATTAACATTAAACAGGGATGAGAGGTGGGAGGGAAAGGGAGAGAGAAGGGAAATTGCATGGAAATGGAAGGAGACCCTCAGAGTTATACAAAAGTACATACAAGAGGAAGTGAGGGGAAAGGGAAAAATAATACAAGGGGGACAAATGAATGTCAGTAGAGGGGGCAGAGAGAGAAGAGGGGAGGGGAGGGGAGGGGAGGGGGGGTAGTAGAGGATAGGAAAGGCAGCAGAACACAACAGACACTAGTATGGCAATATGTAAATCAATGGATGTGTAACTGATGTAATTCTGCAATCTGTATATGGGGTAAAAATGGGAGCTCATAACCCACTTGAATCAAAGTGTGAAATATGATATATCAAGAACTATGTAATGTTTTGAACAGCCAACAATAAAAAATTAAAAAAAAATAAGAACAGGTGTTTTAAGAATATGATTATTTCTGAGGCATATACTTTTAAAATTTTTTTTTTAGTTGTTGAGGTGTTTATTTATATGAGGTGCTGAGAATCAAACCCAGTGCCTCACACGTGCTAGGCAAGCACTCCACTGAGCCACAACTCTGGCCACCGAGGCATATACTTTTAAGTATACAATAATCTCTGAGATAAATATTTCCTCCAATTTAATTGGTTGGGTATTTTTATATTTGTTTTTTCCTGGAGATTTTGACTTTAAAAACAATCCAGAAATAGGAAATCCTAAATCTGAAGGAACAAGGATTTCAGCCCCTTTGGGGTCAGCAAGAATGCCCAGTGTCAGGGCTTGGCACACTTTATTTGTCCACCATTCTGTGAACATACTTAAAGGAGTACATGGACATAGTTTTAGCTTCCGGATAAAAGCAAATTTAACCCTACATACTTTCTGTTTGTACTATCACTTCCAAGAAGTAAAATCCCACCAGGGGGTCCACAGATGGGAAATTAAGAGACTATCTTAAGCTCTTGGCTTTGGAGTGCCCCAAAGCGAGTAGTAAACCTCCATGTTTTGACCAACCAGAGGCAAGAAGGGAACTTTTTGTCTTGAATACCCACACCCTGAGGGTATTCCAAATTCTTAGAACAGATCTATCTTTGGTGTTGTGAGACAGGAAAAAATCTGAATCCTGGTTCCAGATTACTCATCATCCCGTGAGAAAGATATTAATGTTTCGTCACTTGTCTTCAGTTGGGACAAACTTAAACATGGCATTGCTTGATGAACCATTTTAGAATGTAATGCTCTATTTCTACAGATGCCATCGACTAAGCAAATGACAGGGGAGTCATAATCCCTTAATTCATCACTCTTCTTTCTGAAATAATGTGCCGTCTCTTTCTGGTTTCTTTATTCCCAACTTCATGCTCCTCCGAAATATTTATAATGTTCCTATTAAAAGTGAGGCACTTTGATAGACAGAATTTCATTTTTATCTGACTGCCAATTCTGTTTTTATGTATTTATTTATTTATTTTTGGTATCAGGGATTGAACTCAGGGGCACTCAATCACTGAGCCAGATCCCCAGCCCTATTTTGTATTTTATTTAGAGACAGGGTCTCACTGAGTTGCTTAGCATCTCGCTTTTGATGAGGCTGGCTTTGAACTCCAGATCCTCCTGCTTCAGCATCCCAAGCTGCTGGGATTACAGGCGTGTGCCACCATGCCCAGCTCTGTTTATTTTTAATTATTACATATTTCTTCTTCCTAAATAAAAGGAAAGTATATTCTTTAAAAAGGTTAAAATTATAAATAAAAGAGGTAGATATAATCTCCAATGAATCTCTAAGAGGAAATTTTAATGATTTTTCCCATAGCTTTTCTTTTGTTTTTACCTATTTGAGATTATCCGAATATTATCTTTACATTCTTTTGCTTAATATTGTATCATAAGTAGATTTAATGTCTTTAAAAATTCATTTTAAACATTTGGATTCCCAATGTTGGTGATGAATATTTCAACGGGAAAATCTTATTCCTCATTTCATATTTCCTCCCAACAAGTTGCTTCTTAGAAGTAGAATTACTGGGGGAGGTGGGTATACACACTTTACATACTGAAAAATTCCTTTCCAAGCAATGTATCAAAATTACACCACCAATAATTGCGCTGGATAATGCACTAGATAAGGTGCATTTCATTGCACCTCAACTGGTAATAAAGGTATTTACAAGCAATCTTAGCTTATGATTGGTAAGGGGGAGGCAGTCTATTCTGTAAAAAAAAATTGTATTTTTTGCTTATTATTTAGATTGGATCTTTAAAAATTCAAGTAGAACTACAAAACATACTAAAATTCTTAAAATAAAGGTTATATAAACATACTGTGATCACTCTTCATTGACTCAATTAATGACTCAATTAATGAATCACTACTAGAATTGTATCAAACCTTTTGTTGTAAACACTGAAACAATTTTTGGCTACCTTAATCAGAAGATAAATGTATTTGGAGACCATCAAGTGGCATATCAAAGAGACAGGGAGGCTGGAGAATCAGGCTCACCAAATAGGCAGGGAAACTTGGCAGCTGGAATCAGAATAGGTTACATCACTCCAACAGCCTGCTTAGATACCATTGGCACTGCCATGATGGACACTACCACCTGTCACTTCAGGCATTACTGTCCCCAGACATAAAAGTTACTTCACGGATGATGGAGTTACTTTTATTTGTTTTTGGTACCAGGGATCAAACCCAGGGGCACTCATCCACTGAACCACATCCTTAACCCTTTTTATTTTTATTTAGAGACAGGGTCTTGTTTACTTACGTACGACCTTGCTAAGTTGCTGAGGCTGACTTTGAACTTGCAACCCACCTGCCTCAGCCTCCCAAGTCCCCTCCTGGGATTGCAGGCATGTGCCACTCAATGTGCCTCGCCTGACAGGGTTACTTCAAAAACGTCTCTTCTTGAATCACAGAATCCAGATTCAAAGAATGAGAGGAGACTCTGATTGGCTGAACTTAGGTCACATAATGATGTCCCAGCTGCTAGATGTGATGAGTTTAAATGATCATTCTGCCTTAGCATCCCAACTTGCTGGGACTGCAGGTGTATGCCACTGCACTTGGATTTTTAATAAGAATTGGCTGCTTGGTAGTAAGATCATCCATGCATGATTAATGACTACTATAAATATATGTGTGGAATTCTTTATTCATAATACTTTTTAGGACTCTGGTTAGCTTTCTTTTTATTTTAAATATTTTTAGTTATAGATGGACACAATACCTTAATTTTATTTATTTTTTTAATGTGGTGCTGAGGATCAAACCCAGTGCCTCACACATGGTAGGCAAGTACTTTACCACTGAGCCACCACCCCAGCCACTGGTTAGCCTTCTTGTCACTGAATTCTAAATTGTCTAGTAGATCATGAGATCCAGTCCAGAATTGCGAACCCAAATTTCTACCAAATCCTTAAATGTCAGTGAGATGGCTGGTAAATGGACAGGAGTGGTGGAGATTGCATAAAACTGAAGAGCACCTTCACAGTCTAAAGGGAACAACTGCTATTCATCTCCAGCTGATGGTTGCTAGACCTTCCAAGGACCAAATACTGTCCCATCTTATAGCTTTTCAGAAAATAAAAAAAAAAAAAAATCTGAATTTTTGTGAAATTTCCTGATTTTAGAATTTGGAACCAAATTCAAACCCAGAAAAATACCATCATTGCTTCTTAAAAGTTAAGGCTGCCAACTGCTTCCATCAAACCTCTTTATTTAAGAAAATCAATGCAGGATGATGACACATAAGATGAAATGCCTGAGACCAAATAGCTTGAGAGGTGACAGATCCAGGGCTAGAAGTTTGGATTCCAAAGAAAGCCAACCATCCTACTCTGTAGTCGCTTCTCCCATTTGCAGTTAGCCAAACTCAAGAATAGTGCCTGAGTTTTATCCAGTACCCGCAGCCTTAGTAAAATATTTACAAACTAATAGAATCTGTTCAGCCAAAAGAAAGAGTTTTTGATATCAGATCAGAGTGGCTTTTATTATTTTTTGCCCCCAGATGTGAATTTAACTTTAAACTTCTACTTCTTTCTAGGCAAGCAACCTAAGATAAATAACTTTTCTTCTCTGTATCTTTCTTATGGAAAATATCCGAGTACTTTTTATACACGGGGTTGTAACAGATAAGTAAGATTGCATTTATTGAGTGCTTGGCACAATGCCAGGACCATTTTTTTTAACACGAATGAAGTGATAATAACAATATAATAATATCCAGGAGCTAGGATAATACGAAGTTCAGGAAGGTGTGTAGGAGAGATAACGTCATTCTTGGTGTGCATGTCCATTTGTGGATAAATCTCAAAATGGAATTCCTGTATAGGTGCGAGTGGGGTTTTTACCAAAACCCTATCCGTTGCCAATTTCACTGTCAAATCCAGCTGCATTACAGCTTGTGTGCTCTGAGGTCTTCAAGTTACCATTCCGGTCCATCTGGGTGAAAATGATGGTGGGGAAAAAAGGGGAGTCCAGGTGGTCCCGGGCTGGGCAAGAGGCGTGGTTTTCAGATGGGTAAGTAGCACCCAACCGTTTAACGTTCGTTCTAGGCCATCCGCAGGGCCTTGCTGCCACCTGCGAGGTTTTTCTGCAGAATGCGGGAGGCTGTGGCCGCGGAGGAGGGGGCGGAGGCAGAGGCGGAGGCGGCACCCAGGGGCTGGGGCAGGGGAAGCCAGGACCATCGCAGTGACAATTTCTTTTCCTGCGGCGGCGGCAGCAGGGAGAGCCGCTGCAGGTTGCTAATCAGCGGGCCTGCGCGCGGGTTTGCAAGGACGCTGTTCCCCCACGGCGCTGGGCAGGCGGGCTACCATAGGGAGGAAGAATTGGAGAAAGGGGAGCAACATACGACCCCGAACGAGTGGAACTAGCAAAGCTCTTCGGCTGGCAGGGAGAAGCGGGAGGAAGCACGCCGCGGAAAGCGGGTGGGCGCCTCCTAGCTGGGTGCCATTATCAGTCCGCTGCAGTACCTTCCAGCAAAAGCCACCGCGGCCGGGGCTGTAGCGGCCAGACGGATGCCAAAGCCACACGGCACGCGAGCGGGCAGCTGCCGCGGTCGCCGTCCCACGAGGGCCCCGGACATCAAGGGCTGCTGGTGAGTAGACGCGCGCGCGCGCGCGCGTGGTAGAGTGTGAGCGCGCTCTGGCACAAGCGAGTGTGCACGCCTGGAGCGTGTGTCTGGTGGCTCGGCGCGCGCCGGCCCCTCTTCCGCTGACGGCGTCGGGGCGCCGGCTGGCTCCTAGGGGAAGATGCGCTCTGCTGTCTCCCTGCTTCCTTCCCGCCAGCGCTGTGGTCCGGCCGGCTCCCGTGCGCTCCTCCGCCAGCCCCTAGGGGTTAGTTTCACCTTGATGGGGGAAGGCAGAGGCAGGAAGCTGTGGTTCCTGGTAGGGGGCGGGACTCTGGCTCCAACTTGTACCTAGGTGCGCGTGCTTTTCTTGTTCAGACTTGGAATGCAACCGTGAAAATAATGTCTACATAAAGATCACCGTTCTGTGACCGTGCGTGTGTGCAGAAGCAGGGGGGCAAGGGTTGGAAAGACTGACATTTACTCCTGCAAGGCGTGTGGGACGCCTTTCTAGATTTTTTTTTTTTTTTTTTTTGCCTTTTCAGAGCGACCCTTTAAAGACATTTCTGCCATCCAAATAACTTTAGCCTTCACTGAAAACCCCCAGTAAAATGCACTAAGAAGTGGAATGTCAACAAAACACAATTCTCCAGAACTCTAAAACAACCAAGTCTAACGTGCTTTTGTTCCCGAAGTTTAATAAAAGAAAACTGCATAAAAGAAAATTGCCGAAGGAATAAATAATTCAGGAAACTGAAGCTGGTCTAGAAGATTGGAAAAAATCTCTAGTATTGGGAGGAGGGAGGAGGGGCGGCTTGCTTTCCGGAAATCAGTGTTTGGTAGCAAGTGAAACAGACATCATTCAAAGTAAGTGACCATACTGCTTTTTAAATATCCTGTTAATCGCTGAAAATAAAATTAAGTCTTGGATTTTAAGACATTTTCAGGAATATAGAGTATTTCTAGGATGCTGATTTATGGTTCATGATTCAAGATCCTGTCAAAATCGGTAAGGAAGATTTGTTCCAGCAGATAAATTACACCTGAATGTTTGATTTCCTGTTTCAATTTTGGGGGAGGAGTTTTTTTTTTTGTTGTTGTTGTTTGCTTTTCTTTTTGCAGTCCTGGGGATAAAAGGCAGACCCAGTGGCAAGAGCTCTACCACTGAGCTACATCCCCAGCCCATAGGCATTAGTTTTCTATGGTTGTTTTTACAGAGATTAAACCACTATGTTTTATGGTTTTCCCACACCTTGTTTCAGTTGGCAATTTTATGTTTTTAGGATGGATGGTAAATTTAAGTTCAAAATGTACTCCATGACTGAATTATATCTGACATATTTGTAGCTACACTATACATGTTTTGTGTTAATTTTAAACATCTGGAGTCAATGTCTTTGAGCCCTAGGCTCTTCTTCTTACCTTTTGCTCCATTAGTGCTTCTTCTATTAAAAGGCATAAATGTTACTGGAATCTACCTGGAAAATAATGACTGCATGCTTTCTGTTAAAGTTTACATACAGCAAATGTTTGCCACATGGAAATACATTTTTGAATATACTTTAGTTGTAATTTATGCATCATCTGTTTCTTGGGAATATTTTCTTCTTTTTTTTGGTACAAGGGATTGAACACAGGGGCACATAAAACACTGAGCAACATCCCCAGTCTTTTTAATTTTTAATTTTGATACAGGGCCTAAGTTGTTGAGGCTGGCTTTGAACTTTCAATCCTACTGTCTCAGACTCCCAAGCCACTGGGGTTATAGATGTGTGCAACCAGGCCTGTCTTTGTTTCTTGGGAATTTTGAGAAGAAACTTGTATTCATTCTTTTGTAGAGTAAACACCATTTGGACTATGAAGCAGATACTAAGTCTTTTACCTGTATCTCAGTCTTCAAGACCAGTTTCTTGCCTGCTATTGCCCTATTTCATAGTATTTTTAGTGCCTGGGTGGGGTTTGGAGAGGGCATTGAGAGGACTTTCATGTGTCCTCAGCAGACAGATTTGCTCCTGGAAAGAGGGTGTTTATGGGATTGGTTCCTGAAAAGGGTGCATAAAAATACCTAAAGAGTTGTTGTTAAAAGTTTTCCTCTTCTTACTTTTAGGATATAGGACTTAGTTTGGTCACATCCCTCCTTTTTAAGGACTCTTTCAAGGCCTATTTATAGCTACAATATAAGGAGTGAGATTGCAGTTTACAGAAAAGAGAAGCCTGATAATTCTTGCTCAAAAATATGACAGGAAATTATGCAGATGCTTTCTGGGAAGTGCCAGGTGCCTTCCTAGTGGATACATCTGCCAATTAAAGACATTTTAATTAAGCTATTGGATTTGTGATTCTAATAATGGAATTTTTCTTGGCTTTATTTAAAAAAGTGGCTTCAGTTAAAACTATGTGAAATGACTCATGGTTTTCCCTGAAAATATTAGTTTGTTTTTCCATCCCTGAGGGCTAATGGGTTGCAGCTGTTCAATAAATATATTTGTTAAATGAATAACAAATCCTAGAATGTCTTTATCTTCCCAACCTAACTACTCTGACCTTTCTGGTATTGATTTTATTCTAGTCATAACTTTAAAAGAATCACCAAACCTTTCACCAAATTGCAGCCCCATTGATACAACCAACTAAGAAGACCATCTTCCTCAAGTGAAGGAACAATAACAATCCCTCTAAAACTATTATATTGGTACCTGTTGACTTGCTTATTCTAGCTGTCTGGATATGTGAACTATCCAACTGGCTGTGTGAGCGTACGTTCAGAAATCCTGAGTTGACATCAGAATGTTCAACTCAGGAATAATCTGGATGGGTCTACATCTGGGTGTGGCTTTTGTCAGAAATTATTTGCATTTCTAAGCAAATCAGATGAACTTCTAGTACAATCCTGCATCTCTTCATGCCAAGCGGAGGGGAGGGTTGAACATTTGGCAATTGACTAAGTCTTTAAAATACATACTACTTGATGATTTTTCTAAATTTTAAATTAAATCCATGTTATTTTTGTCTATTGGTGAAGTTGGTTTAGAGACATTAATCCAGGCTGGTGGGTTAATTAGTAACTTGTGTTTATTAAAAGCAACTCCTTAATATAAATTCCAGTAATTCCTGTGTTGTGATTGGCTGTTAACGTTTCAAGGAACTTTGGAAATGGGTGCATTGTTCCGTTTGGAATACAAGAAGATTATGCCTTCCTTTTGTTTTAGTTCTGACTTCTCTATTCACTAGAGGTTCTCTATGAGATTCAGAATCTAACTTCAAGATGAAAGATTAGAAAGCTATACAAAGTTTACCTAAATATTAACATTGCGTTGTTTAATAATAATGCAAAATTTCATCAATATTCTTCCCTTTATATGTTTCTCTGATCAAGTTTGTTTCATTCTAAATAAAATCAAGTGATATTTTCAAATTTTTTATTGAGCTATGTCCAAAAATAAATACATAACATAAAGAAAATGCTTATCAGCATTCTGAAGTAACACAAATACTGCTATTCTCTGCATAATCAAACATGGCCATTCATATCAAGTATTTATTTGATAAGTAGGTACTTGGGCCCTTGAATAAGAGTTAAAGGCATGTTCCCTCCATGACTTATTAAGGTCCTTGAAAGCCAGGAAGAAGAATTTTTATTGTTAGATGGTTGTAGGTTCCTTGACAGAGAGTAAGGGATGAAAGCATCTTTTTGTGAGAAGACTTTGGCAATTGAGTGGGAGTGGAATAATAGAAGAAAGGAGGGGATGTGATAATCTGGCATCAGGTGATGACAGTATGATATAAGAACCTTGGGCACTGAGATGAAGAAGGGAAAACTTCAGGGAGTCAGACATCAGAGTTCTTTGTTGCATGTGGAAAGGACACAAGTATGATCACTAACATATTCTACCCCCACTCAGGCATCACCAGCTGATCGATGCATTTCTTCTTGCTGGGCTCTGGGTAACCTGGATATTATGCAAATGTTTGACAAGTATTTCCTAATAAATGTTAAGGATTGGCCTTGTGCTGTATGCCAGAGATAGTATTAAGCAATACTTGGAATAACATATGAAATCTCAAGGATGATTAGTGTTAGGAAATGAAATCCTTTTGCCACTGACCAATTGTATATCTCTGTGCAAGTTACTAACTTCTTGGAGTCCCCGTTTCTTCATGTTTCAATTGGGATGTTAGTTTCTATTTCATAAGGCCCAGGAAGGAATGCATGCCTAAATAAGTATAAATGAAAAGTGCTTAGAACAGTGTCTGGCAAAAAGTTAATGTTTTATGTGTTTGTTATTCTTGTTTTTATTAACACATAAAACAACCTTATGTAATAGGTACCATTTTACAGATTTAAAAAGTAAGACTCGAAGAGGCCAGGTAAATTGCTCAGGGTCATAGGCTGGTAGATAGATGATAGAGGTGGGAGTCAAACTCAGACAGTTTGACTCCAACACCTGCTTTCCTATCTTGAATAGATTCCTGTTTCTTATCCCACATGGTAGGTGGTAGGGATACTGATTCGAGTAAAAACAGTGTGGGATTGTTCTCATGGAGTTTTAGAGATCTAGTCATCCCTAATGTAGATTTGCTATCTTTAAAATAAAATTAGCACACAGGTTATTGGCTACAGTTTTTTTCTCAATGTTTTCATATTTTATAATTTTTTTGAGGTTCTTTGTCAAAAAGTATTATAGTTTGTGTTTTTACATAGGCTTTAAAAATTTGTTATTTTTGCCTAATACCATTGACATGCATAGCACATACAACTGTCATGTATTCAGTATTCAGTGGTTCTTTTCTGGAGGCAGTATTCTCCATGGCCCTAGAGTCTTGTATCTCTCCCATTGTGAGCCTGGTGAAGTGATGATGGCATTTCTAATCATTTTTTTTTTCAATTAATTCAGAAAATTCTACAGAGTAGTGGCAAAGTAAATTTTAACTATTCTTTAACTTGATGAAATTATTGTGTATAAATATAGGAGGTCAGATTTTAATTATAGGTGGGAAGAACGAAAATTGTCAATTTCTCCAGAGGTTCTCTAGAATGGAATCTGCCATCACTGATTTCCATATTTTGACATTGTTACACTAATGCTTATAATCTTTGTTCTCATAAATAACTCACAAATCTATAGTATTGTGGGTTTCCCCTTCCCACACCCTTCTCTCTCTTTTCTTTTCTTTCTTGGTCTGAGAATTGAGCCCAGGGCCTTATGCATGCTAAGAACAGGCTCTACCATTGAGCTACACCACCAGCCCCAGTTTTGTGTTTTTCTAAGTAAATGCCAGTTTTTCCTGGTTTTATATGACACTTATGGATAGAATGAATTCTTTAGTGGAGGAAAAGTAAAATAAAATCCCATCTTTTAAAATATACTCTGTATTCTTTGATTTACCCTTTTGTGTAAATTATGCATCTTATGATTTAGTTAAAGTTCCATTCATTCTAGAAAAAACTTTTCAAAAATTTCATGAATTCAGACTTGATTAAGGATGACCGAACTGGAGGTTTATTGAATTTGGTTTTTTGTTTGTTAAAGTTTTGCCATCCTTAATGTTTTAGTGTCATTCTAGTACTAGAACCAGAAATTCAGCAAATGCCCAGATAAGAGATAAGTGCTAAAGGACCCATTACAGAATAGTCATTTTGTTGGTTTGATTTGATTCACTGGCTTATTTTGGAAACATGAGGCCAGCATGACTCATTTTTAACCCTTCTGGTTCCGCGTGAATACTGCCTGTTTTGCATTTCCCCATGTTCAGAGAGAAGTCCCAGAGTGGGCTCCTTTTGTGAGCACTGTGCTTCTAATGCCAGTCAATAATTTCTGTACCTTTAATTAAAAGCAGAAGGAAAACTACAACCAGTAATGGAATTA